CTTTACATGCATTCCTGTTGATGATGCAGTAGAGGTGGTCAGTTTAAGATTAAAATCAGACACCACTCTGAGCAGCAGGACCACGCTTTCCACAGAACAACTGTGTCAACCCTTGAAACTGCCTGCAGTCAACCTACTTCACATATGGGGAGCAATATTATAGGCAGAAACATGGGTGTGCTATGGGGTCTCCAGTTTCTCCTATTGTTGCCAACCTGTACATGGAGGAGGTAGAAAAGAGAGCCTTAACGTCCTTTTCAGGGACACCACCAAGTCATTGGTTCAGGTATGTTGGCGACACCTGGGTTAAAATCAAATCCCAGGAAGTCCAACATTTTACTGACCACATCAACTCTGTGGACAAATACATCAAGTTCACACAAGAAGATGTAAAAAATGGCAGGTAGGCTTTCTTGGACTGTGAGGTCTCAGTCTCTGATAAAGGACATTTGCAAACTGAAGTGTACCACAAACCCACCCACACAGACCAGTATTTGCAGTTTGACTCCCATCACCCTTTGGAGCACAAGTTAGGAGTCATCAGGACTCTGTACCACAGAGCAGACAGCGTCCCCACTAGCTCAGGAGCCAGGCAGAAGGAGAAATCCCACACAAGACAGGCTCTAGAGCAATGGGGATATCCTAACTGGGCCTTCCTGAAAGCAGAGAAGAAACCCAAACAGGACTCCAGTCAGCATCAGGTGAAAAGGAGGAACCCAGACCCAGACCAGTATTTGCAGTTTGACTCCCATCACCCTTTGGAGCACAAGTTAGGAGTCATCAGGACTCTGTATCACAGAGAAGACAGCGTCCCCACTAGCTCAGGAGCCAGGCAGAAGGAGAAATCCCACACAAGACAGGCTCTAGAGCAATGTGGATATCCTAACTGGGCCTTCCTGAAAGCAGAGAATAAACCCAAACAGGACTCCAGTCAGCCATCAGGTGAAAAGGAGGAACCCAGACCCAGACCAGTGGTCATTCTGTATGTTGAGGGAGTATCAGAGAAACTGAGACATTTATTTTCTAAACATAACATCCCAGTGGCTTTTAAACCCCAAAATACATTACGGCAAAGACTGGTTCATCCCAAAGATCCAGTCCCCCGGCACAAACAGAGTAATATTGTGTATGTTGTTCAGTGTCAGGAGGGTGATCAGTCTTACATCTGGGAAACTAAACAGCCACTGGCCAAAAGGATGGACCAGCATAGAAGAGAAACATTATCAGGCCAGGACTCTGAGGTCTACACTCATCTCCAGGCCAGAGGTCACTCTTTCAAGGATGAAGATGTTCACATCCTGGATAGAGAGGAACGATGGTTTGAGAGAGGAGTAAAGGAAGCCATCTTTGTGAAAAGAAACCGTCCATCATTAAATAGGGGTGGAGCCTCCATGTTCAACTGTTCCTATCTTACAATGCTGTGATTGCTAGTATCACTCAGCCCTCTGTGAACAGTAAACAGCCATCAGGTGCTAATGATCCATTGTTAGTCTGATGGTCCTTCTTGAGCATGTGATCAGCTGGTTTTGGTTGTCAGCAGCAAACTGGTTGATCCACTCTGAGAAGGTGCTATTTAAGAGACTGAGCTGAATACAGCACCTCAGACTGAGGAAGTCTTTCGGATGAAAGACGAAACGTTTCTACGTTTTTGTTTTGTTTTGCTTTGTCCATCCATCCATCCATTTTCTTCCGCTTATCCGGAGTCGGGTCGCGGGGGTAGCAGCTTATGTAGGGAGGCCCAGACTTCCCTCTCCCCAGCCACTTGGGCCAGCTCCTCCGGTGGAATCCCAAAGCGTTCCCAGGCCAGCTGAGAAACACAGTCCCTCCAGTGTGTCCTGGGTCTTCCTCTGGGTCTCCTCCTGGTGGGACATGCCCAGCCCCAGAACACCTCACCAGGGAGGCGTCCAGGAGGCATCCTAACCAGATGCCCGAGCCACCTCAACTGGCTCCTCTCGATG